ACCGCCTTCCTCCCGGGAGCAGCCCCGAAGCCCAGGGCCCTACCACCAGGTTGTCATGGCAGCAGCTCCATCACTGACCACCACTTTCTCAGGTGCCCGCGCTGCTGGCTGGTGGGTGCTGGGCGGGGGCGTGGGGCGCGGGGCTGGGAGCAGGCGTCCACCTTAACCCCCGCGGCGCCATGTGGACGCGGGCAGGGATCCCAACAGGGATGAGGCGGACACTTGGCGGGGCTCAACTATCCCGGACCCCCAGAGCCAGGGAGAGAAAGGGGCGCACTCCAGGTGGCTCAGCTGCTGGCAGGCAGGTGGAGCAGGGTTGCTGGGGAGGGCAGAGGAGGGGGACGAAGAGGGAGATGTGGGGGAAGCTGCAAATTGGGAATGGATGCTAGCACCTTCCCTCCCCGGATGCCTTAGCAGAAGTTGTCAAACTCCAAGGAGAAGAGCTAAGTTTCCCAGGACAGGTGGCTGCACAGGTCTGGTGTGCAAGTCCAGTGCTGGGTGGGCCCCTTCTCTGCCTGGCTGAGCCACAGACCACAGCAGAGCCCCCTGGGCCTGTACCAGGAGCTGGGAGACTCTTTCTGCCTGACGGCTCACTTGGGAAATGCCCATGGCCCTTGACTTGCTCCGTCTCCCAAACTGATGCATCTGAATCTCCTTACCACCCAATACAAATAATCCTCATCCTATTCCATGCTTATTATTTGAGTATCTTATAAGAAACGAGCAAGAGCTGGGGGAAAGACAGGTCCCAACAAGTATTAGGCTGATTTCCGACTTTCTATGGCATCATGAGCATAACATGATGTGGAACGTGATGGCTTTGGGAGGGGACTTGGCAACAGCATTCTCAGAGGCCAGACTATCACTTTGTCTGGGGCTCAGATTAATTTCTTTTCCTTTTTACACGGGGAACCCAGGCTTCCCTTGGGCCTGCCAGGAGGTTTTTTTGCTGCTCCTTCTATCAGAAGCCACCTCTTATTTCATAAGGTAATTCCGTGGTTGTATCATCACTTAGTGGCTGCATCATAATTTAATGGCAACGATGCATTTGCGTTGCTGTATTCCTTCTCAAATCCTTTTGTTAAATTAGACAAGACACTGAATAATTGTTACGATGAAGTGTAAATGAAACATCCGTTTAAACTTTTATCATTTATGACTTCACTGGCTGGATGGCTCCATGACAAATAAATACTGCCCATCACCCCTTGTAAAATGGTAGCCCACATACAGTTGTACATCTCAAGTTTTTAATTAGAGTATCGTACCTCCGGAAGAATACTTGTCACTAATCGTGCCATATACGTTTTACATGTTTATTATAGGGAAAACATCTCAGGCCTTTCCAGAAAGCAGATACTAATACAGGCGATGGGGCAGGGCACACAGCCACAGCTCCTGATAGGAGTCATGAGGCCGAGAGGGGAGGCTTGCGCTCAGACAGCAGCCAAACCGCTTATTTGGGATTTTAATGACACCCATCTTTCCTTAAGAGTTGAGTGGCCCTGAGTTTTCTGTACACACATTGCACCTAATCCTCTAAATTCTGAGATGCATTTGTCCATTATCACCAGACTGGAAAGGCTTTCTTGGTGCTTTTACCCAGTGGCCCGTGAGGTCCGCAAGGTTGGTGACTGCTGCTTTAACCTGTGTAAAGCTGGGAACGCAAGGCTGTGCTTAAGGTTTTCTTCCATTACAGAGTCTGCATCCAGGGGGGGGGGGGGGCGTGATAGCAGGGGGGTTGGGTCTGGCTGCCACCCAAGTCACAGGGCTCCTGCCACTGCTCATAGGGGTCTCCTTTGACATTCTCTACTCATGCACCTGTTGGCTCTAGTGTTTCTCAGGAGAGGCAAACAGGGCAGCTGCTAAATACCAAGTCAGCTCATAAAGGATTGTTTGAGATGGAAAGATTTATTGGGGAAGACACCAAAGACGGACAGAGCACGAGATTCCAGGTGGGGCGAGAAAAGCCGGGCAGGAAAAGATGAGAGGCAGAGACCGGTTATAGGAGGTGTTGACTAGACCAGTGATGGCGAACCTCTGACACGCGTGTCAGAGGTGACACGCAAACTCATTTTTTGGTTGATTTTTCTGACACGCATGTCAGAGGTGACACGCGAACTCATTTTTTTGGTTGATTTTTCTTTGTTAAATGGCATTTAAATATAGAAAATAAATATAAAAAATATAAGTCTTTGTTTTACTACGGTTACAAATATCAAAAAAATTATATATGTGACACGGCACCAGAGTTAAGTTAGGGTTTTTCAAAATGCTGACACGCCGAGATCGAAAGGTTCTCCATCACTGGACTAGACCTAATGATATGTAATAATCCCTGCTCTTGAGGAAAGGATGAACCACCGATGCATTTTTTTTTTCATGGTTGGCTCCTCCCAACTGGAGATATCTGGAAGCCTAGAGACCAGGGCTATATCTCTCCTCTCTGGTAAGTTCGTTTCCTAGTTCAACATTGTTCAGTGAACTTATGGGCTGAACTCAAGGGCTAGTAAATTAGAGAAATAACTGTTTATGTTAATCTATGTCATTCTACAGTTTTGTGGGGGAGATTGTGTGCCTCTTGAAGGCATTGTGAGGGACCAGTGCTTTCATTTGTAGACTAGAAAGCCAAACAAATTGGAATGGAAAAGAGACAAAAGGGTGAGGTTCTCAATGAACAAAGTAGTTTATATCAGGAGTTTTTTATGAAATGCTTAGCTGAGTACCACAATAGGGAGGCCCCCGTTAAACCCCTCTTGGACATATGACAACATTCGTGAAGACAAATCAGATGAGGACAAATTCAAGTCCTAAGAATCTGTCTCTGAGGTTGGATCATCTCTTCTGACCGACCCCTCAACCCTTCAGCTGTGTGGGGGGTACATTAGAATGCCTTGGACATATGACAACATTCGTGAAGACAAATCAGATGAGGACAAATTAAAGTCCTAAGAATCTAGCTCTGAGGTTGGATCGTCTCTTCTGACCAACTCCTCAACCTTCAGTTGTGTGGGGAATACATTAAAATGCCCATCTCCCCTATCTCACAGGGTTGGAGGGTATCTTGATGTCTTCCCAAGATTGCATTGTTAAGGCCTGGTAAGATGACAGACCCTGAGACAATGTCTTGGCAAAATAGTTTGTGACTTCACTCTCCCAAGGGGCAGGGGCACTTCATGCCATGCAGAGCCACGTGGGGAAGCACCAGGTGAGTGTGGACACAGAAGGACAGGGGGAAGCGAGGCTCAGAGCCTTACTGTGCTTTGCACAGGAAGGAGCGGGTGGGCTGGGGTAGACAAGCTGGAGCAAGCTTGGGACTGGCCTGTTGGAATGACTGTGGCTTGCTCGGGGCTGTAGGAATGGTCTCTAGGTGTCCAGTACCTGGCCCTGGGGGGTTAGGACAGGGGACATATTGGTGTGGTGTGTGACAGCTGGATAAAAGACATGGGGATATTGGCTGGTTTGCATATGAAAGAGGTGCTGAAGGCAAGTTGTTTGCCATCTGAGCATGGCAGTTTCTCCAGAATCTGCCCAACCAACCATCACAAAATGCAGAAAATAAAAAAATAAAAAAACATGGTTAATAGCAGGTGACAATTCATGCTGTACACACTTAACACAGTGGATGTTTTTAGTAATCATAAATTATGATTATATGGCATAACTCCCACTTTCTTTTGATAACAAATGGTGACATGTAAAATGATATCAGTAAAACGATGCCATTGCTCTATGTTTAAACTAGAGCTTTGATTCAAACCCATAGACATCTTGATATTTAGGGAGATTTGTAATACAAAATGCAGAGTTGCATCCAGTGCAATCACGTTGGAAAACTTCAAGCAGAGAGGTGACAGAATCTAACTGGTACAGTTTTGAAATTTCATTTTCATTGTTGTATAAAGAATGTATCACGGTGTACAGACTGGAAGCAGGGAGTAGAAGAGGGAATAAATGATGGTAGCAATGGTGATGGAGAAAAGTGGAGAGGCGAGGTGTATAGTTTGAAAATACCATCGTGTTTAGGACTTCCTGAGAGTTTGGATGTGGGGGTTGAGGAAAAGGAAGGAATTGAGGATGATTCCTAAGTTGAATTGGTAACTGGGTGGTAGAATTTCCTGTGATAGGGATGACTCCAGAAAGGGTATGTTTATAGAGGTAGGGGTTGCAAGAGCGAATTCCCAGGCTGTCTGAAAGGTGTGTGTGTGTGTGTGTGTGTGTGTGTGTGTGTGTGTGTTATGAGAAACAGGGCGGGTCTTTCTCTGAACCTAGAGGTGAGCCAACTTCAGAATTAGAAACCACCCAAGACTCAAAAGTGGTTACTAATGAGGTTTCATTGTACCCTGGAGGGGCTGCCCAGACGAGGGTGGCGACTGAGAATTCTGGATCCAACAGAAGGCTCTGCATTTATCTAATGAAATTTGTATCCACTTGTAAAAGCAATTTCAAACTGTGTGTTATTCATAAACAAGGAAAACTTACAGCTTGTGTTTATCTGAGAGAAGGCTGTACCCAGCTGTTCGGCGTGTGCACGAGGCAGAATCATAAAGTGAAAATCCTGTGTGATGCATATGTAGATGACAGAAGCCTCCCTCCCTCCCTCAGTCAGCACCCAGGGGGTGAAGTGGCCCAGGAAGCACTGTGGCTTAGCCTGCGAATCCTCTCTGCGGGGCCCTCAGGACGGGGAGATGTAGTAAACTAAAGGTTTGCTAGTGAAGAGAGAAGCAAGGCTCGACTTGGCTCAGTCTTTGGGCTCCAGAACGTTCCAAGAATGGCAGCACATGCCTGGACACAATACTT